TGGGTCTCCTAGGCCCAGTCATCATCGTGGCAAAAATCCTCCTCCAGAAAATATGGACTTTGAAAGTTGATTGGGACGAATCGCTACCCATGAGCTTACACACGGAATGGACACGATACTACACGCAACTACCATTGCTCAACAATGTGACATTTAATCGAAAAACCGTAATCACTGCGGCTTCAACCATCCAGTTACATGGATTCTGCGACGCCAGCGAGAAGGCGTACGGAGCCTGTGTATACCTCCGTTCTACAGATGCAGAGGGTCAAACGCAGGTGGAACTCCTAGCAGCCAAATCGAAGGTTGCACCGTTAAAGAGTCAATCTATCCCGCGACTCGAATTGTGTGGAGCCTTATTACTATCATCGCTCATTAATACTATTCATAAAGCATTACACATACACATCGACCGCACGATTTTATGGACAGATTCAACAATAGTTTTGCATTGGCTTAATTCGTCACCTCATACATTAAAAACATTCGTCGCCAACCGGGTGTCCGAGATCCAGTCCAAAACAAAGATCGAAGAATGGCGCCATGTTAGCTCAACTGATAACCCAGCAGATCTCATTTCTCGAGGACAATCAATAGAGGCGTTCCTTCGACCATCCATCTGGTGCAATGGCCCAACTTGGCTTCACCAGGATGAGTCATACTGGCCAAATGGAAAAACCGAAAACACTCCATGTACTATAACTAGTCTTCTAAATTAAAGTCGTTATTTCTGTTAAAAAGTGCAACAGTCAATACCCTTCACTACCAGCTCTGTTACTTTAAGTGGGCACAGAGCATCGCGAACCACATTGTCAAATTAGAGTCGGGAATTTACAACCCCCGTAGACCGAACAACGGTCGCAGTGTCGGTGCGTGAACAACAGAGCATTTAAGTGATCATCGGGAAGCGTGATGCTTAACTCGGTGGGCGTAGCCGTCGCGATCCTCATGTTACATGCTGGTTAATGCCGAGCCCAGGTATAAATCATTCTACACGAAGCAATGAAGAATACGCCACGTGCTCCGACGATGATAATTGCAAAGATAATCAAAGTCCATTAGTTTTGATACCAATAGGAGTGGTCTCACAGGTGATATTCGAATATATGCATCTGGTATGCCTAGGCGTCATCAAAAAGTACCCTTATTTTTATTTTTTTATCTACCCTTATTTTTATACCTGCCCAAGCTTTGGCGACGCGGATGCAGTCACCCGGTAGATGCACCACACCATTGCGTTACCTAGCCCACTCCTTGCGTAACTTATTGTCCTGTGAACGCTGAGCAGGTGATATATATCATCTTGGGTGTGTGATAAATATTCAAAATTGTTTAAATTATCTTCCAAACAAATTCTGATAGTATCTAAGAGAATGAAGAGATGTAAAAAATATAGTTCATCCGGGTTTGCTAGATTTTGCTAAAATTGAAATTTCTGTTGTAACGTATGGAGTGCTGAATGATAGTTTACATCAACATTTCTTGATGCTGCTTCATTCCATTAAAACATTGTTTGCTCCAGCTTTTTTAAGCAGATGTTTCGAGGTTGCTGAAGTAGCTTTAGAACAATTTGTTGCGTTTTGCGAAAAGTTGTACGGTCCAAATTTCAGTAGCTACAACGTCCATGGCCTTCTCCACTTGGTGAATGACGCCAAACGTTTTGATACAATAGAATCGTTTTCAGCTTTCCTGTATGAAAGCAACATGTCCACTTTTAGAAAATATTGCAGAAAAACAGGAAAACCTCTTCAACAGTTTTCCTATAGAATGATCGAAATCGAACATTATGGTAGTAACATGGGAGGTGGTGACTACAACAACCATCCACGATGTTCCGTGTCTATGATGTTCCGTAATCGTAGTGGTGAAGTTTTCTGTCATAAACTCCAATTACATGCCATATTACTTGATATAGGTAAATATCATATTTTGCAGAGTGGTGCAGTTCGTATAATTTTGTCCATTTTATCGCACGAAACCTTTTTTCGCTTAGATGTACGAACATTTGACATAACCTTGACGCTTTACCGTGGTGCTTAACGCATCCTTCCTGTCCTAGCTATCATATTATCACCATTCGTTCTTTCAATTGATTCAATTTGTTCTTTAGGTCTTAAATACTTTTTAATATATATATAGTCTTAAATACTTTCACAACCATATATCATTTTCTTATGCCGTAAAAAAAAATTTCCTTGCCATTAACCATTTCGCTACCACGTATTATTTCTTATTTGTAGCATGTGGCCTACTCCCGGGGACAGTTAAGTGAAAACTGATTAATAGTATAGATGCGAGCTAAGTGACGTCAGATCCGTAGAAACAAGACGGTTAATATCCATTGCTTATAATACTTACAATTTTTTTGTAATCATATATCACGACCTAATGGGAGACCCTTTTTGTTTATTGGAAAGAAAATTGTCAAGAGTGGTGCTCAGTGTTCACAGGACAATAAGTTACGCAAGGAGTGGGTTAGGTAACGCATACGCCAGGAGTCCCGCACAATGGTGTGGTGCATCTACCGGGTGACTGTATCCGCGTCGCCAAAGCTTGGGCAGTTATAAAAATAAGGGTAGAAGGCACAATACAATACAATAGTTGCCCCCCCCCCACTATGTAGATGCACCATCCTCCCAACGCATGCGTCAACTATTGCGTCAACTACTTTACGGAATAGTCTTCGAAACAGAATTATACAGTCCGCCACAAAAGTGTTCGTATATCTTTTAAGACGCAATAACTATTTTAAAATTGAACTAAATGATTCGAATTATTTTCAGATGATAGAAAGACTAGTCTACTAAACGATGACCGAAATGATCTTCTTTTTTTAAAATTTTGCTACTACTTGGAATGACAAAAAAATAAAAATTTCTCGTTCGTTAACTTTTTTATCTGAATCTATAACGAAAATTAAAAAAATGTCTTTTGTAGATCTTGGTGATTTATATGCATGTTGAAAATGTTATCGAAATCGGTTCATGTTGTTCCGAGTTACAACAAATTAACAAAAACTGTAAGAAGTCTGCAGTTTTTAAAACCTTCAATGCCCGTAGCTCGATACTGGCTTAGCCGATTTCGATCAAATTTTCAGCAGGCATATAAGTTATCGAGATCTATAAAAGGCATTGTTTAAATTTTCGTTATAAGCTCAGATGAAAAAGTTAAAAAACGAGGGTTTTTAATTTGTTCTTTTCATTCCAAGTAATAGCAAAGTTAAAAAAGAACTTTTCTTAGTTATCGTCTAATAGACTGATCCCTCTATCATCTAAAAAAAAATTCAAATTGTTTGGTTCAGTTTTGAAAAAGTTATTGCGTTTATAAAAGGTGACAACACTTTTGTCGGCCACTGTAAGAATGATCACAAAAGAACCCCTATAGTTCGTTCAATGGAAGGAGTCCACAATTATGAACAATCGGATGATGATCACGATATGCGTATTTGAAAAGCATCAAATTTTCCAATCGCTAATAGGAATGGTCGGTTTTAGGCGAATATCCAGCATCCTTATTGTTCACACTTGCTGACTTGTTATCTTGAATGGACTGTAGATGTGTCCAATCCTTCTTCTAGAAACATCCTTAATTTTATTCCATGAATGATTTTTGTATTTAACCCTTTCGCTACGGCAGCTCCATCCGCCGAAGCACCGTCACCGAACGGAAACTCGCTCCGGAAATATGCACGGTGCGCGTGGTTTCTGTATATATGTTGTTCCAAGTCTTGAATAATAACTGTGCCGAATAAAACAATCGTTGCTCTGATGTAACAAGTATATTTACATCTTTAATTTAAAAAGACTCACGAAATTATAGATAACATAGGTATTTGTATAATTACAAAACCTAACGATTAAACGTTTAATATAATTGATAACGAGACGAAAATGATTAAAATATAATAATATGTGAAAACTAATAATATGGTTGTGTGCGATTTATTTGAAAGCAAGGATCTATACAAAGGCCAACGTCGCAATTTTTGCACTCGTACCGCGAATCCGTTCTTTTATCATTTTTGCTACAAATTACACATCCGCGTCTTCTGTGTACACTTCATTTCGATGCCACATATATGCGGCGCCCGTAGCCACAGGTCGTCGAGTGGATGCCGCATATATGCTGCGCTCGGCGCGAAAGGGTTAATAAAATGTTTCTGTCTTTCTTGTTATTTTTCTTTCCTAACATAGGCTTTTCAGTACTTCAGTACTTTTCAGTACTAAACAGCACAGTTGATAGTGCTAAATTATTTAAAATAACTGTAACGTAGTTTCAATGTTCTTTAATTAGATATAGATGTTTTGTCCGTACGTTCGGTTAGTCGCCTAACGTACATGCGCGACCGAACTATTGTACGCTCGATTCGCGCTTCCTACGGCAAATTAATGACGTGGAAGGGTCTCTAGTAGTCTTAGAGAACTTTATTTTTTGTGTTGTACTCTCTGCGAGCGCTGGTGGAAGAATGCTCTTCCAACGCTGGAAAGTCGTGGAAGAGCACCCGTGGATGGAGGTAGATTGTTTATTATTGGTCAAGGCACGAATCACCCCTTGGAGGGGGGTGTCTGCCTTGACCCTTGTTGGGGCCTGAGAGAGTTTCCCCAATGGTGGGACCTTTTTATGGCCCTTGTCTCTGGACGCAACAATAGATAAAAATAAAGAACTTCAGATTTTTAAATGCTGAAATTTAAAAGAGAAAAAAGTGTATGATTAGTAAATATTTTAATTTGAAATAAATTATACTTAAAAGTATATAATTTTTACTATTTCTCCTTATTCCTCCTACATTCTATTTTGGCCTAGATTTTCTCTCAGGGTAACGCCTAGGTTTGCTTTTATTGCGACCGTCCTGCCCTCTTTTAACGAGAGGACGTGCTACAAGGTTTGGCCTGGATTTAGCATGGACAAAGCTTTGCTGTCAAATCCGTGGGATACATGGAAACAGATGGCTCGGAATTTTGCACACATGCTTATTGTCAAATTCGTGATAAATTCAGAACTGGGAATCTCATGATTAATTCTTAATAATATTCTGTATTTATTTGGAATTAAAATTATATTAATCTTTCGCATTAATAAGAATATACAATGATCCTCTTCTTTCTGCTAAAAATTATACCTTTTTATTTCATGTTTTCATCGTATGATGAATATATGAATTAATCGTAATTTCTTTGTCATTACTTTTATCGTTATAATTTGTTCACTTTACGTCTCAGTTTGGTCGAATAATTGAACAATACATGCATGCAGTACCATATCCATTCACTACCACGAAAGGGTCTCAACATTTTTGCAATTAGAGGATTTCAGTCCATACAAAGGTTTCGTCTGAAATGCATTTTGAAAAGTGCAGTATCTGTGCAGTAAGTGCACGCGATCTACCCTTCCAAATAAATCTATCCTAATATAAATATAATCCTAATCAATCTAATAAGTAACATATAGCGAAAATTCATTCCCTAACCGTCAAATCATTGGGACATTTACCTAACTTTAGTATAAACACGCGACCCTGGGAAACTCCGGTGGAATATCTCTGTACGTTACATAAGAATCTCCAGATATCATACATTTGTTAATCGAAAGTCGTGAAAAACAGCGATTTTTGCAATCTAATTTAATTGTAACTTTAAGAGATTTCGATGAGATTTTCAGCGTGCATATAAGCTACCGAGATCTACAAAACGTACTATTTATATCTTCATTATAGGTTTAAATAAAAAAGTTGTGAAAACACCATTTTTTACATTTTCTTATCATTCCAACCACTTGCAATTATTGCAAAATTTCGTTCGCTTATTGTCTAGTAAACCAGTCATCCCAACATCTCCAAAGAACTTGCTCCAATTTTCTACAAAATGATTTCTATATGAAGAAACAAAGAATACAGACGAAACGCATATACATTGTATAATCACCATTTATTATCTTGCGCTACAATTTTCATGATTTAGGAAAGCTCGTCTCATATATACACACACAAACGCGCATGTAATGAAATACTTCTATCATAACACAAGTGACCCACGCGATTGCATGTATCGAATAAATATGCATCTGAATACCGAATGAAATCGATCGAATTGTTCGACAGTGATCGAATTCGTAACACCCGTTCTCTGTACAAAGCTCCTGCGGTACTACCGTAAAAAGGAAAGAATGAAGTTATATCTGAATAACAGTTACATCTATCTATTTAATGAGGGGAACTGCACTTTGATGCGCGGCCAGGGCCGCGGGAGCGTTCAGAACTTTGAAAGGCCGTTCGGAAAATGTGTTCCGACACCGAGGACACAATTTTAGTCCCTCTCGTTCGAGCTTTCTGCTCGATCAACTGAATGCTTGCTGAGCGCAGGCTGATTTTCTTTGTCGGATCCGTGGTCGGCGTAGCCGCGCGACGTCCTAATTAATTGGGATCGTTCTTCCTCTGTTGATCAAGCGGAGCAAATCGTCTTTAAGGACGCGCAGCAGCGTTTTTTCACAGATTGCAAATGGCACAGCCATGTTCTCAGCCTGTCAATCAGCTCCGCGCAATCTGACCCTACGTCCGCGCATTCATCGTCCTCTGGTTCTGAAAAGAAACCCGAAAAATCGGGCGAACGTTTATTAAAGCAAACGATCGAGCAAATTTTAGAAGCGACGGGAACAGTCGGATACGATAAGAACGGATTTCCAATGAGAAATCAAGATTCTTTTATATAGCAGGTATTAACGTTTTCGGTGGGGAACCAAAGAAATACACATTTTGGAGAAATTACATCACATCTCAAATAAATAGGTCAGCACTTCAACCTTTTAGGCACGCCGCGCCACTATAGTGGCTTTAGCGGATGTCATCTTTCAGAACGACACGCCACTATAGTGGCTTTCGCGGATGTCATCTCTCTGGACGACGCGCCACTATGGTGGCTTGCTCTAGTAGCTCACTCGCTCATCGTTTGAACCAAATAATCGTCTTCATATGCATTGTTTCACACTTCTTTTGTCTTCACATCGATTTACAACAGTCTACAGGGTGTCCCAAAAATGTCTCGCGATCCGGAAATGGCGGGTTCCTCGGATCATTTGAAGCAACTTCTTCCTTTACAAAAATGTTCTCCGAGGCACCGTTAACGAGTTATTAACGAAAAACAGTGACCAATAAGAATCGAGTACGGTTGACGCGAGGCGGCCCAGCCAACCAGCGCACGAAGCCCAGTTCCGCTCATTGGCTCGATCGCCTCGTGCCAGCCGAGCTCGTCTCTCATTGGGCACTGTTTTTCGTTAATAACTCGTTAACGGTGTCCCGGAGAAAATTTTTGTAAAGGAAAATGTTGCTTCAAATGGCCTGAGGAACCCGCCACTTTCGGATTGCGAGACATTTTTGGGGCACCCTGTATATACAGACAGAATATACAGTATCAGACTCTGTACAGTACATATCAGACTCTGCCGTCCAGAGAAATAGCCTCGCGCAGAATTCAGCCGTACCTAAAAGGTTAATGTACTGTGCTCCAGCGAGAAGAAGGTGCGGCGTGTTTATGTCCCCACTTCTGCTGCAGTCAGCTGTCCTTCCTATGGTCACAGGCAGTGATTGCTATTGGCCGAAGAAGCTGACGAAGATCAACGCTACAATCCGCCGTCGATGTTCATCATTGTCTTCGACCAATAGCAATCAAGCTCGTAACCGTAGGAGGGACAGCAGAAGTGGGCGTGTACTGTGCCTTCTTCTCGCGGAAGCACAGTACTTCACGTATTAAAATCGCTTCACCGTCAATTCGTTTAAGAATCATTTAGTGGAGTTAAATATGAATGGCCCAAAAGCCAATCAGTGTAAGTCTATTAACATTAAAATTGAGATATATGTACAAGGATTTTGAAATTAACTGTAAAAAATAACAATGCCACTAAGAATGCAAAATACAATTTTTATTATAATAAAATAAAGATGCAAAATTTTTTTATATTAATATTTAATTATTTTATTTAATTTTTTTATAATCTTTTTTATTCTGTTTAGTCATTCCGTGGTTAACATAAGTGCTACCATCTATTGTTTTTTGTATAAATAAATCGTCTACATTAATTTATCCAACGAGAGATCATATGATAAATATGTGTTTGCATTGCGTAATTCATTTTTTAAAACAAATGGACTTACACTGGTTGGCTTCTAAACTGTCCATACATGCTTTAGCTTTTATTCTAAATTCTCCATCAGTATTTTGTTTCGTGGAACCATTATTTCCCAAATGTATTGTTCAATTGCCGCGATAAATATTCGTTCTAATTCGAAAATAATTTATAATATTTCGTTCATTAAGAAACGTTTTCATTTGAACGTACAGTCAGGGGCAAAAAGATAAGACACCCTATGTTCCATCGTGTTTTGATACATTAGCTGGCGAAAATATTCATTTTACAAAATCACCTTTCTAAAAAATGTTGAAGAAGAAAACGTTACTTGCAATTAATAATTAGTTGCAATTGCACAGAGAAAACGTGAATATTAGATATCCAATGGAGTCTTTATTTTACATTTAATATAAATAGTTTAACTTGTATAGAGCAATCGTGTAAGAAAGAATGGGACGTGGTGAAAAGTTAAGTGCGTGCGAAATATATACAGTATTAAAATTGTTCAATGGAATGTATTCCATAGCAAAAATTGCTAAGATTTTAAATAGAAATGGATGTGCGATAGCGAACTTATTAAAAAATCCGAACAACTATGGAATGAAAAGAAGTTCTGGCCGACCGCCAATTTTTACAGTACGTCAAAAACGGGCAATTTTTCGGCGAACTCAAAGATGCCGACAAAGCAAATTGCAGAAAGTGTTGGTGCTACAATATATGCAGAGAATATACGTAGAGTTTCACGACAATGTGAACACCAGAAACGAAAAAAAATTGCAGAGAAAACCCTCGTTAACAAACCCATATAAACGTTTTCGATTAGTATTTGCGGAAAAGCATATTCACACGAAGAAAAAGTGGCGTGATTTAATATTCACTGATGAGATAAGAGATTTAATATTGATGGCCCTGATGGTTTAAATTATTACTATCATGATTTGAGAAAAGAAAATTTAACATTAAGTCGTCGACAAATGGACGATGACAGAGTTATGATTTGGGTTGGAATTGGTCGCTATGGAAAAATGGATATGAAATTTATCAGTAGATAAATGAATAGCAAGAAGTATGATTTTCGTCATAAAAAATAAGAGTGGTTTTATGTAGTATCGAATATCAAACAAAACTAGTAAATTGTTGTAAATTCCATTTTTTTCCAGAAACGTCTTATCATTTTGTCCCACTAATTACATTTAATTTTCTCACCTTTTCAGATAAAATAACACCGAATATTGATATTTTAGTTTAGCTTAACTAAAAATAATAAACAAAACTAGTGTAAAAAGATGTACACGTAGTGAACCTCATTTCTGATATAAAAATTAGCAAATTAATAGGTTGTCTTATCTTTTTGTTTGTGGCTGTAGATAATTGTTATGCGTTCTTGTGTTTCTCCGCTTCGTGGAACATTCTTACATGTCGAGTATTGTGTACATACTTGTCATCGTACATGTACGTATATTTACTTTCCGACGAAGAAGCAAGATTGACGCGAACATTATAGAGGCGCGCCTTTGATAGAGGTACCGAATATTTTGCGAGTTAATAAAAAGGGCTACCGCGAAAACTGACGATGCGCACAGAGAATATGTATTTATTCACTGTTCCGTAAGTGAATTGAATGAAGTTGGTTTGGAGATAATCCCCGGATGAAAAGGCGACGTGTCAGTCTGTCACGATTTCCATAATCGTTTCGTAGCCTTAGTAGCTACGCAGTAAAATTAATAGTGATCAAAGATGGTCGTTGAATGAGCAAGAAGAATAAGAAAGGAACACCTGCGAAGTACGTGTTTCACAATAGAACCTTAGAATTCAGTAGACGAGGGTATAGGACAGATAAAGCGAAGAAGATCCAGAGGAAATTGTTATCGGGCTGATAACATTGTCAACAATGATCGACGGATTGAAAGAAAAAGAGAACAGAAAAAGAAGTTTCACATATCTGAGAAGAGGAGAATGGCATTGGTTTGATACAGATTTCTCTTACCCCGACCATTTGTTTGAAGTTCATTCTGGTCTCCTTTGGTGGTTGGCGGAAACGACATCATGCTCATAGTACTCTTATGTTTGAACGGGCTAATTTTCGGATAACTGAACTCATTGGTTACTTTCGGAAGGGGGCTAACGGTATAATACGAGTTTATATGGTTCGTATACTTTCTGGTAGTGGTGCTACCGTATTTGTTCTTACTACTATTGTCGTCGTTATTATTTACTTTAGTCTTGTATTTGCCGGCGTATAAATAATTGGCAGTCGTGTATATGTATTTGGTTGCCGGAGTTGTTGAGAATGGTGTGATGCGTTTGTAAGGACTGGTCGTCGACGTCGACGATGATGAAAAAAGATTCGTTAACGGCGAGGAGTATTTAAATTTTGATAGTAGCGTGCTGTGTGTCGATGATTCCCACGGATACCTGTGTGAAATACCATTTAATCGTATTACCATTACAACGATAGTAAACGCAAGTGAGACAATTTGTCTCCCATATGCGGGACTTCTCTATTCTTAATGAAACAAAAGGAGATCCTGATTTCGCAAATTCAAACATTTATGGAAATTAGGGGACACACGGAGGAACTAATAATACGTGTTACACGATTTTTTGTTTATATTTCCCAAATTCACTCTAGTTGAGTGAAAATTGACTCTGGGGGAAAGTAGTATTCGCAATCATTGATTATAAAATGTTCAAACAAGCGATCAAATCGAAAGAAAACATTTGAGTATAAATACGATTTCCCGCACGATTTTGCCACGGTTCGGATATATACCTAAAAAATATATGTATAAATCGTAGGGTTGTTACCTGTATTCTGTGGTGTTGTATTGAGCGAAGAGGGGCCGATTATGAGCTGTTGGATTATAGGTGCCGTCTCGGCGAACATACGTCGGAATATTTTGTGTGTAGTCTGGTATAATATTTTCATGTTCGGCCACACACTTTCCATTCAGGCAATACTGAAATTATTCATGAAATTATGTTCGACAATTCCAAAATAAAATGTTGTTCGACTCAATAAGCAGCAATTCGATTACCTGACCATCTCCGCAGGGAGAGCCTTCAGCTGCGGGACGATACGCCACACAGTATCCGGAACCAGCGTCAAAGCAAAACAGCTGAGCACAAACCCTATCGTCTTTCTATAATGCAATCAAAATATTGTTTTAACAAATATTACGTAAAATATAGTTCAACGTGTGTGATGTGGATTTGAATGTCTTGTGTGTCAATTGCAAAATGAAGAAGATAAATAAACATTTATTTATTTCATTAATTGTAACCCTGATGTGTTAAAAATAATATACCGGTATTCTTGAACTCCTTGACACTTTTTACTATTTTAAATTTTACCTATTCACTGTCGCCATGAACGTGTAAAATCTGCCGTCTATTAACCCGAGAAAGATAACCTACGTCGCAGAGGCGCCTACGAAGACTGTTGATTTTTGTTAATTTTTCATAGAGGTCTAGTGATTTAAGTTTAAAATTACTTAAAATATAAAAAAATATAATATAAATGCATTTTATTTTTACAATAATGCCAAACCTTTAAAATGACTAGATTAACTTAAATAAATATCCATTGTTAGTATAAAATTGACGCCTTAGAAAAGCATGCGCCTCTGAAGCGTATGGTTATCTTTTACGTACGTTGTCATATGGTTATCTTTCTAGGGTTAATGGCTACCGTTAAAGTGTTGTATAAATAACGAATAAATAAATTTTTGAAATAGTTTGTCTCTTCTCAGAATTTCGTAAATAAACTTTTCCTGAAATGGTAGTTACCTATGGAAACGACATTATCAAATATATTTAATTACATAACATTCATATACATATAATTACTATTTAAAGGAAAAAGTTTGTTTGCTATTCTGTATTACATGAGAAAGATACAAATATTTATAGTCTATTTACTATTTAAAAAATCTATTTCTCCCCAGCCCTGCATCCTTGCACTGCTTTCATGTTTATCTGCATGAAACGATACTTTACTTTGTGACATAAAAAGTTGACTTTTAAGTAGCTTAATTGGGATTTCAAATAACTTACAAAGCAAGCACTAGTTCCACGATCCTTTCGACACTGTGCATCCAACGAGAGCAATTTTCCAGGCAGAACTCTAGGAAGTGCCTCGTCTTCGTGAGGAGCATTATACAAACAAGTAGCTGTATCTCCACTAAAATGATAAAATCGAAACGAAATTTTATATTCGATTTATGAAATCCATACAATTCTATTTCATGTTCATAAATATATCGGATTATATTTAAGATATCTGTTTATCAGTGAATAATTTGCATACATATTTAAATATTTAATAAAAATTGAAAGTCGGTGAATAATTTGCATACATATTTAAATATTTAATAAAAATTGAAGATCTTCGAAATAATTCTTAATAATTTTCCCATATGCACTACACCGATGATAGCAGCTTGCTAAATACGGTGCATGTATAATAAAAAAAAACATGTAGAATAAAGATTATGTTGAAGCATGCCGAGTGATCCTAATCGCAACAGCTATTGTACAACTGCGGATATGCGTGTACGTATGGTGGGACGAGTCATGCATGACTCCCGTAATTTAGCTATTCGTCTACCTCGGTCTTCTTCTTGTTTCGGCAATCAGACCGACATGTTCAATACGTATTCTGTTCGATTAAAGTGAAATATGAGCCGTTTATTTTGAAAGTGGCATAAGTCACTTTTTCAAAAAAATCGAGTTAATGGTAACACTAATTACAATTGAACGGTATCTTTTCATTTTAAAAAAATTTGCAATCAATAAGTTGAGAACTATTGAGATATGTTCGAGAGAAGTTTTGCTAATTAACGGTATAATAAACATGTTTATTTTGAAAGTGGCGTAAGTCGCTGTACTCAGGAAATTAATTGCGGGGCTTAGTGTAAAAGAAATAGAAACGTGTGATAAGTGTGTGAGAAGTATTGTTTTTACAGACCAAAACGAAGTTAATTGGCTAAAAATTCAATGGATACGATTTTACCATGATATTCCCTATAAAATGTTTTATAAACTAACTTTAGATGAAAAAGATGAATTTCTAACTTTGGATTTGCCACCAAAAAAACGAAGACCTAGGCGTTATTCACAAATAGAAATGGATCCGTTATACGCTGGATCTCGTCCTGTTTCTTCAGCAAAATACAAAGACACGATGGACTTGCTTAATTATATACCCCCAATATACCACAGTTATTT